AGGAGGAGTGTTCTCTCTCTCTCTCTCTCTCTCTCTCACACACACACACACACACACACAATGTTCAGAGACAGACAGAGAGGTGTGGAGGTGATACAGAGGAAGCCAGAGCTGGTATTATGGCAACCTCTACTGGAGCTCCCTGGGGTATTACATTGAAACCTACCACACACACACACACACACACACACGCACACACACATGCACACACACACGCATGCACACACACACGCACACACTTCACATGACTGTATAAGGAGAGAACAGAAAACAAAGAGAGAGACAGATAAAAGTATAGAGTAAACACAGACAAAGAGAGAAAAGATTGACCCAAAGAACTACAGATGCAGTTCATGAAATCTGGATAAAACGACAGAAAAAAAACCCCCAGGTTGTCTACAGAGAGCAGGACAAAGAGAGGAAACGGCAGAGTAATTGTAAATCTCATGACGGGAGGTGAAAGAGAGAGATGCAGACAGAAAACAGTGCTGAAAGATGAGCAAAGGGGGAAAGGGTTGGAAGAAAACAAAGGAAAAAAGACTCGAGGGACGGAGAGAAGACAGAAGAAGACAAAGTGAGGGAAATGTGCACAAATAAAGTGGAAACGAGTGAGTGAGTGAGTGAGTGAGTATGTTAGGAGGAGAGAGAGAAAGAGAGAGAGATGAAGAGGGGAAGTTCTAGTTGTTTTTCTCCCTCAAGAGTTGCCAGGTAAGAGGCAGCTGGGGCTGCTGGCAAACCTATCATTACTGTACTGTGAGAACAACAGCCTGTGTCTGTACACACTCACGCACACACATTGGAAATATTGCACTAATTCTACATTCTGCATGTTGAAATACAAGCTCTAATTCAGGTAAATTTGTTTGTTATATTTACAATCCTCAAGTACCGTATTGATCCCAAAGAAAACCCTGCTAATATTTATTGACAAATATCAGTATATTATATCAGTATATATTTATATAAGGTATAAAATCAAGTAAAATACACTTAGCTTTACGATGTTGGTGTTCCCAGCATGCACCAGGACATGAATAATTAATGAGGTTGTGTCTTTTCATTGCTTACCAGTTTTATTTACACCAGTGTTATTGTTGACGTTTAGTAAATTGTTAGTACTGTATAAATAAATAGCATAAAAAGTCATTTTAAACTAAATGAGACACACTTTAAATACATTATAAATAATTTTAAGAAAATAATTAAAATCTTTAAGAAAATCTCACTTTTCAGTGTATTCTTGTTAAAAAATAATTATAAATCATTTAAAGAAAATAGTAACATTAAAATTAGTAAAAAAAAAAAAATAAAAAAAAAATAGTAGTAAATAGTAAAAATAGTTAAGTAAATTTCACTTTTCAGTGTATTGTTTTTAAATTAAGCTACAGACTTCCCAAAGAAGTGCAAAAAATTACAAAACTATAAAACTAAATACAACATACTTACGCAAATAAATTTAAGTAAAAAGTAAGTAAATCTTATTTTTTGTGCACTTTTGTTATCTCTAATCTATTCATAACTTTAAAATAAATCTGAAAATTTTTAGAAGTGAATAAAGAACATTAGCTCTCAAATAAGTAATATGTAAATACATTTAAGTAAAAATATTATTTAACATAAATTTAATATAAATGTAAAAATAATTTAATAATATAAATTATAAACTATTTTATTAATAATATAAGCTATAATTTACACTAACCTTAAAATTAAGCTTTTATTTCAGAGCTTTATTTTAAAAGCTTTTTATTTTAAAATTTTAGAACTGAATAAAGACATTATTTAATCTCTTTACAAACATTTCACCTTCTGAAGATACAAAAAAAAAAAAAAAAAATTTTTTCATGGGCACTTTTAGACATTTTGTCACCCAAAACTGTATCTAGGCCAGAAACACACACACACACACACACACACACAAATGGACATAAAATGGACAAACTACACAAATATACCTTAATACATGCAGAAATGCAGAGCTCATGCTGGAACATTAGCTCTCGGGTTTCCCACATCTATGTCATGCAAACATTAGCCGAGCCTGCATCTGTGAAGTGCAGCTCTTAGTGACTGTTTTATGCCAGGCCACGAGGCCCTGAAACTGAACACTTTCTGGCTGAGTTTCTGAACACACTGTGTGGAAACTGTTACATTTACGAGGAAGAACAACAGTGGCCTTCAGATCAGGCGGAGAGGCAGAAACAGGCTCAGGAAACCACAGAATATTGTGATATTCCTTTGGAGTTTAACTTTAAGAGCTCATCTGGGACTGTGTTCGCGTGGTAGTGCACAACATGCACACAAGAGAGGATTGGGGGGCATATGGAGATGGGGGCACTAAGCTTCCTCCTCGTCATCCTCATTTACTTGCATTTCCCACGACAAAATATGACCTTAGAACTAACAGTCCTCTCCCAGCCAATCAACAACGAGCAGTAATGATCCTCACAGATGGCTCAAGTCAATGACAAACATGGGGCGAGAAAGAGAGAGACAGAGAGAGAGAGAGAGAGAGAGAGAGAGAGAGAGAGGGAGAGAGACACTGATA